CCCAAAACCCCAAAACCCCAAAACCCCAAAACCCCAAAACCCCAAAACCCCTAAAATTGTTAAAAAGTTTGAATAAAAATAAAATAATATAAATCATAAATGGGTTCAACCCTTAGCTGACTTGAGCAAGCTCCAGATAGAGAAGATAGGAGGCTTGAAGCTACTAGTAGAGAGGAAGACAAATCATCTGAAATCAATACCCAGGAAAAGATCCCTGATCAATTTCCGATGCTTGATTGTACAAAATCTTCTATTGCAAGATATACAAAGCTATTAGATCTGTATACCAGAGATAGTTCTCTAGTATTTAAAGCGAGAGCATGGCAGATCAATAATGAGCTAGTTTCTTTACAAGAACAGCTTGAGAATGCTAAATCTGAAGGAATAAGTCTTATTGATACTAATGAAAATGTGTCCTTGTCTGAGATTTCTAAAAATAAATTAAGGTATATCCACTAAAATTCCAATGGGATTTTTATTTTTCAAATTTCTAATGTTAAGATCTTAGCATTATCTGGCAATTCAAATGCGAAGTGTTAGACTTTATTGTAATTCCGATTTTTAGCTAGATTTGAAAGCTCTCAATGATTTTGTTATAGTCTTTCTTACAAGGAACAATCTAGCAATCTTAAAAAACAAATTGAAGAACTTTGCAAGCAGATACAAAGCCTCTTACATGGTGTTGAACATCATAAGGCCCATACCCAGAACGAAGCACGAGTAAGTCTGACTCTTAGGCTCACAAAACTTATAACTTCTATCGTATCAAGCCTAAATAGTCCTTGATAGATTAGTTTCCTGATGCTAAATGCGTATCCAATTTTCTATTCGAAATAGAAAGATACCTCACAACTCATGTAATAACTATAATATCTAGATATAAGTAGGCTGATTAAATCCCCTCTCATTGATGGCGGACACTGAGTTCACCATGAAGAAGCTCGCGTTGATCGAGAGCAGAAGATCCTTGAAGAATCTGACCAAATTGATTATAAAATATGCTATAATGCATGGCACAACATAGTCCCTAATGGAGGCAAACAATTCTCTCATAGACTGTTTACCCTAGACTTGGATATTTACGAAGAAAGATTATGGCTGAAAAGCTTGAAGACTATGACACTTCCTTATATACCAAAGTTAGAAATCATTAATGGAAGCTCGCAACATTCTCGCTTAATGAAGCATTTTCTCCGTAACTGATTCTCTAGGAAAGTTGATAGGCTCTATTGTGAGTATGCGGGTACATTTTCTGGTCCAAAGGAAGATTTCTTTGAAGAAATCCTCAATGTTGGGCATAAGATAACAAAAAGTTTAAGTCTTACTTCTTGAATAGTAAGCCAAACCTCTATGGTCAAAATTCTATCTGTGCTCAGAAATTTACAACAGATTGAGTTTAATTGTGCAAAAATCTGTATAGATGATATTCCTCAGTTCGGCCATTCTCTCGATGTAAGTTCAAAGTAAAATAATCGGATGATTTTCCCCAATAACTTTAGTTTAAAAAGACTACATTTTGTCGATTAGTAGGGATATGCCAAAATGCAAGAAGAGCTGAACAACTTATTATTCATAGGATGTTCAAGGCACTCTAAGTGTTTACCATGAGCAATTTTGGGGTCATTAAGCCATAAAGATTTTAAATGAGCTTTCAAAGAATTTTAGCTCGCTCTTGTTGATTTAACTCTTTAGGGGTTTAGTCTGAGTTTTGATCAGTTCTTCAATCTCAGAAATTTCTTTAGTTAAAATTTAAGAAAAATGGGAAATCTTATTACAATCTCAATTAATTCACATGCTTCAACTATTATAGGGCTCTAGTCTCAAAATCTTGAAGTTCAAAGGTAAGCCATATAGCAATGATTGAGCACTTAGCTTGTTTTTATTTTGTGATACACTATGAGAATTTGAACTAGGCATAGGAGATAGTCCAAGCTCTAGCTTTACTTAAAATACCATACTTGTTGCTAGTTAAATTTTTGAAGATTTCTTGGTCTTAGAAACACAGCTTTTGGCAGTTCTTTAAGAATTAATGATACTAGCTTACTAGATTATCTACATAATTTCCAGTCATTCTTGCTTATCTTAATATGGTTCAAAGATTCTGAATTGGCATGAAATTTTAAATGGGAATTCTGATAAAAAATTTCTCGAGGATCATTAAAGTTCTTCTGAAAATTTTAGAAAATAATCAGCATAAAGTTTGAAGTGTAACTTTTATCCAAGAAAAAGCTCAATATCCCAAAAATATTTTTTATTTCGATAAAGTCACAAGATGAGTTTAAGTGAAATTAAATGTGGTAATCACTGCTAATATAGGAACATTTTCCTCTGGACATGTCTATCAATCATTCAGACTCTTGATTGACGGCTTGTCTGAATGCCAAGATTTCAAGAGGAACCTTATATCTATAGAAGTTGCTAGATCCTCTATAGGCCCTTTTCCTGTAGGAACTAATTATGAGCCAGCTTTAAAACAACAGATGCTTAAAAATGGATTTAACATCGTTTAACCTACGTTCAACCAATTGATATGAAATTCCAATTGTTATCTTTAATCTTGTATCAATATTCAATGTGGATATTCTCTTGTGGGGTTTTGGGGTTTTGGGGTTTTGGGGTTTTGGGG